TTTTGTCACTCTGTAAATAAATTATTGTTTTTACTTATATTTTGAAAATGATTGACTCATTCTTCATATGGGATGTCTACAGCTGTGTTATCTTGTTTTCTCTTGGTAAATTGTCTAACAACATTCCAAAATTTAATTGGATTATCTTCAGAATCTATTTTTTGTTTTTATTTTCTTTTGTAATTTTGTTATGTATTTTTCGAAAGTTCTTTTTCTTTTCATAGTAAATTGTTGTTAAGCCTTTGTCATAAGGTTTCTTTTGTATACTTTTGACAATGGATTTCTTTTTTCATATTTATACATTTTGCATCTGTATATCTATGTCTTTTTTAGCTCCGCTGTTGACTTTGTCGAGCTGAGCTTATCATATAAGTGATTGTCCGTCGGCGTCCGTCGTCCGTCGGCGTCAATGTCAATGTTTTACTTTTTCGACTTCTTCTTGAAAACTACAAGCCTGAATGCTTTAATACTTGGTGTGTATGTACTTTGGGTAGACTTATTAGATTTGTTCATTTCATGATGATATCTTCAATTCTCTAATTTTGGTGAATATTTTTGTAATTTTTGGTAAAAAGTGATATTTTTGACTTCTTGTTAAAAACCGCAAGTCCAATTCTTTTGGTATTGCATATATAGATGCTACATGTGGACCTTTCTCAGATTTTTTTCATTTCGTGATGATATCTTCATTTCTCTAATTTTGGTGAATATTTTTGGAATTTTTGGTAAAAAGTGATATTTTCGACTTCTTGTTAAAAACTGCAAGTCCAATTGCTTTGATATTATATATATAGATACTACATGTGGACCTTTCTCAGATTTGTTCATTTCGTGATGATATCTTAAATTCTCTAATTTTGGTGAATATTTTTGTCATTTTTGGTAAAAAGTGATATTTTTGAATTCTTGTTGAAAACAGCAAGTCCGATTGCTATACATACTATACCTATTGTTCATTTTCTAATGATATCTTCTGTCCTTTAATTGCAATGTGCATTGCTAACAGCAGAGCTATCTCAGACGACGGGCTGCTTGTTTCTTTTTGTTTTGTCAATGTAGCATTTTTTATTAATTTTTTATTAACATATTTTGAAATTCTAATCAAATTTCATTTATATAATACTTATATTTCATATTATATACCTGAAACAGCTAAGCTATATCAGCCGCCAAGAGACTTGTATGATATAATACAAAACTACCAGATAATAATAAATCAAAAGGAATAACAAAATGCATAAGCAAACAATTGATTTGATATTTTTTGTCTCTATATTCTTGGTCAAGTCTGGTATGTGTGTTCCTTTTGGCTAGGTCTGGTATGTGTGTTCCTTTTGGCCAGGTCTGGTATGTGTGTTCCCTTTGGCTAGATCTGGTATGTGTGTTCCTTTTGGCCAGGTCTGGTATGTGTTTTTCTTTTGGCCAGGTCTGGTATGTTTGTTCCCTTTGGCTAGGTCTTGTATGTGTGCTTCTCTTTTTAAGAAAAAATATAAGAAATCAGTCAGTCAAATCAAAATTTTTGCTTTTATATGTTGTGTATTGATGTGGCTTATCTAAACTTTTGCAAGTGCAATTCACCCTGGAGATGTGAATTTACTGATCAGTATATTATTAACATGGGTAGATCATGTGGTTTGGTGTCCATGGGATAGGGGTTGTTAAACTTATATAAATAACTGTAATATCTGTTGCAGATAGGGAAAGACAATCTGTGCTATTATGAAGGCATATATGGCCAGGTTTATTATTGGCATGTCTGAATACTGTTACAATATAGAAAATGCAATCAATGCTATAATGAAGGCATTGAACAAACAATGTAACTACATGTTACATAAACAGTCTGATCATGTAACCTCATTACTATTAT